GAAATGGGGCTTCCTCTCGACTTCTGAGCTCAGCAGGACCCCACCCGGATCCCCGGGGTCGCCCGCTCCGAGACAGACTGATTAGGGAGCAGGGGCCGCAGACAGCCCACCCCAGGTTCCGGGCAAGTGCAGGGGTCGGGTCGGGCTCACCGAGCTGCACGAGAGGGTGGGCGCCTCGAGCTTCCTCCTCGGTGGCCGTGCTCGGGCGTGAGGAGAGGCGACTCTTACCCGGAGCTGCCGAGCAGGAGGCGGGGGGCGGCCCGGGAGGCTGCTGTAATCCATTAGGCGCTGCCGGGCTACGGGCACTCTGGGCGGCATGGACCTGCTCAAGTCTTGAGAGGGAGCCTCGTCGGAACCGCGGCGCTGCGGCCACCCGGAGCAGGCCGGCCGCTCTTGGCGGGCGTTGTCGGCACCGGCGGGGGCTTCGGAGCCTGGGGCTCCTTCCGGGCTCTCCCGCCCGCCGGGCTCCCCAGCGGCTCCGGAGGCCGCTGCCGCGCGGCCGGAGCTGAGCAGCGGTGGGGCCAAGTTGGGCGCCGGGTGGGAGCCGAGGCCGCCGCGGAGCCCGCACTCCCGCAGCCGGCGACTGTAGCCCACCTCTGAAGAGACAAAGGTTAGAAAAAGAGGGGGTGAGGCTCTAGGAAGGCAGAATGCGGGGGGGAAATTCGCCTGGGAAATCAGGAAAAAGGCCGTGAAGGCGAGCGGCGCCTGCACATGACCAGCCGCAGCCAATGACGACCGCAAATAGGTCATAAAAAGGTCTATTACCAAGTTGTAAATTTTCTTCAAACAAAAAGGAATTTACTGCAATTCCTTGCGGATTTTGCACGTACAGCTCGCAAGCGCCATGTTTTTTCCTCTCTTTCTCTTCTCTCTCCTTGCCCCCCCACTTTGTCCCTCCCTCCCCCAGTTTCTCTCTCCATCCTCCCCACTTTCTCTCTCCCCACACACTTTCTCTCTCCCCCTCTCCCTAACTGCGTCCCTCCCAGCCTCCCTTCTCTCTTCCTCGTCTTCCTTCCTCCCTTCCTCCTCTGTATTTCTTCCTCTATGTCCCTTACCTCTGCTCTCTCTGCTTCTTTTGCTTCCATGGTTTCTGACTCTTTTTCTAGGAATTTCCCCCCCCATTTTGGTTTGCTTCTAAACATCTACTCAATTTGGCGCTGTTAGAGAGAAATGAGTGCGATGTACTGCCCAGGTGCTTGGTGATCCTGACAGTTACCTCCCTCCGACTCTCCTCTTGCCACCTTGGGGGGGTGGGGTTCCCAGCTTCTCTTCTCCACCCCTCACAAAAAGGCCCGCTCTGGAAGGCAGCCAAGCATTTTTGGGTTTTGTCCCTCACATATCCTGGCAAGCCAGCGCCAGGGATCTTGCGCAGAAAGCCTGGGATCTGCAGGCCAAAAATCGCACTCTCCTCCCTAACCCCTCTCCAACATAAACTGGGGTTCATCCCATTTCTTGGGGTTTCTGCAGTAGGAGCGTCACCAACCAGCTGAAAGACTGGAGATGGTTTTAGATACTTGTCAACTCCAAAATAACAGTTTGAGCTCCATTGCCTGGCCTTTATCTCAGCAGAAACACCTTCCGGGTCAGTTCTGGGTTAGAGGAGAAGCAATCTTTCTGGATCCTCACTGAAACCTCTTGCATAAGTCTCCTCTAAGTGCAGTTCTAATTTCTATGGAATTCTAGTTCCTCTCCTCTTCCCTCACACCCCAAATGTTTGTCCATTGAAAAGCCTGCTCAATACAGTATTGGAGAGAGGCTTCATTTATTCAGGAAAAAGAGTGACTCACCAGTTTCAGCCTTGAAAAAACGTATTTTTTCTTCAAAAGCAGGAATAGCATTCCCTTTGCACTTCTGATAGGAGCCGCTTCAGTGAATCTCAGCCGAAAGTAAACGTCCTAGGCTAGTTCTAGCATTCCCCTCATTATTAATGCATGGGCATGACCATCCAGGCTTCAGAATCTGCCTGAAAGAGGTAACTCCTTCCCCTCATCCTTTCAAGACACTGTATTTGGACTTCTAGTAATATATGTGTAAATATTTGCATTGGATGACTACGTGTAAGTTCTCTGCTATTAACATCCTCACACCCAGTAAGTACCTAAGTGGATGTGCACCTAAGCAGGAAGTGCACAGCACCCTCTGGAGCAGACCATTTGTATTTCTTGAAAAAGTTCCGATGACCTTGGGTGTTGCTGATTAAAGGATTTCTGTTGCCACCTGTCAGCAAAAGTCATATTCTTCCTAGAAAAAGTCTTTGGTTTGTGGAGGGAATCATAACAGCAGCCAGGGTCCTTTAAAATGTTCTCTCTCTTCCCCTGTCCACCACCAGATTCCCAAGGATTCAGAAAACACTGGAGAAGCACAGGACACAAGCTCGGATGTAAAATAGCAATACATTCTCCATTGAAGAATAAAATAATGTTTTTGATTATACAAGAAAAGAGGGCAAGTTGTTGGGCCCTCCTAAGCTAGAACACTTTCCGCTGGTGTGTTCATGTGGAACTGAACAGATTGTTTACTTCTTAAATTTTCTGATAATCTCAACTGTCAATTTTCTTTACCCCCTCTACTCAAAAACAGCTTTACGACCCTCCTTTTCAGCTTGGGGAAGAAGGGCTGGGAAAAGACTATGCACTGAAAAGGCAGCCATATTTGCACTTTTTCCCCTAGTGCAGGGATAAGAGATATACTGGGCTTTGTGGAACATCACAAAATGGCAATCTCTGAACTGACTTTTTCTCTAGGAACCATTGAGACCCACACTCTTTTGTTTGTTTCTGTTTCTTGCAAACAAAGAACCTAAATCACTTAGAAGGCTTGGTTCTTTCATTTTATGTTAACATTAGAGTGTCCTATTTTTCTCTAAACGGTTTACAGACCTCTTTAAGCAGATTCCCTAAGCAGTCAGGGAAAAGAAGCAGTCGCCTGGGTTTGCAAAGGGTTCGAGGAAGGTTTATGCAAATTTCTGCAGCAAAAATGTTTGTTCAGTTGCCAAAACCCAAACCCATGGGTATTAACAGATTTTAGCCAATTAGAAGAGCATCTTCCACACGTCACTGGGAGTCTGTCTGCGTGAAATACCATGATGGGCGGTTTCTAGCCACTGTAAGAAAAAAGGTGGTGAGTGTGTGTGATGTTTAATTCCCCAAGTTCTTTATTTGGAGACAAATCTATGGTTTTCTTAGCTACAAATGAAACATACATACTGACATTTATTTCCAACACTTTCTGCACATGTGCAATTATATATATATATATTTCAATCCACCAAATATATACAAAAAATGATCGAATCTGTATATGTATAAATATTCTCAAATACACCAGTAACTGCAAGTCTTTTTCTGTACATGAGCTATGCTTTTACCATGCGGTTAGGGAGACGATGGGGCCAGAAGGTACAGCACTTCCAGAGCAGCACAGAATGCAGAGGAAATAAGGACATTTTTACTCCCCTTCTTTATTTCCACATCCATCCACGCACCAGGTTACCCACCTGATAGAATCTTACCCAAATCAGTGGTTCTAAAAGTGGTATTTGGGTAGTATTCCTGAGTGAGAGAAAGCAAATTTTGCTAATAGGGGAGTCTCTTAAATGGAAGGCAGCTGGAGTTTAGCCAGTACCAGTCTCTGGCCAGCTTACCACCACCCCCACCACACACACAGGCTGTTCCCTAGTCACGCTCTCAGGCGCTTGGCATCCTTGCTCTTTATCAGCCAACAGCAGTCTCAGGCAGCACACAGAGCAAAATGTTTCCAAATCCGGCATGCACGTTTGCAGCTGTCTCTTCTCCTACAAATGTTTCTTAAGCCCCAAGACACCCATGACTTAAAATTGTCTTTCCTGGCTCAGGTCAGTGAATGCCACAGCCATGGTCTCTTCCCTGGATAAGATAGTCAGGCGGTGCTTCGCCTCTGGCCCCATCAGTGACAGTTCCCTGGTCCTTGTAGCGGAAGGCAAACAGCTCACCAAAGCCTGAGGGGTGATTGAGGCCTAAAACTATAGGATTCCATTTCCTTACCTGTGCAAGAAATGCCACTCTGGAAATTAAAACGTACCTCTTAAAAAATAAAGTCATCTAGAAAAAGCAGAGAGCTCTTCAATGTCTACCTGACAAAGATGCTTTCCCTTTTGCAGGGAGAAATGTTATTTTACTTAAATTTCTTCTCTCTTCCACCTCCTCTTCTCATAAAATGGCAGCTGCAGGAGCAGCCTCAAATGGAAAATGGATCTTGTTAATAACAGTGCAAACCCCAGCATCAGTGCGGGCTCAGCGGAATAAACTGTGGTGTAACCAGGGCTCTGGGTCATCCCCCACTGGGTCTGCAACTGGAGTCCTTTGTGAAGTTCAAAGCTTTCACAGTATCTTAGCAAGGTTATTTAAAGCAAGATGAAGCTAGGGTAGCCTAGTCAGCCCTCTCTGGAATGAAAAAGACCAACCCCCCTCCCGCATTTATTTATTTTTATGGCATGTAACCCCCACCGTTTTTTTTTTTTTTAAACCAAATAGCTTTATCGGGACACTGCCTTCATGTAAGCACAGGCAATTATTCCTAAGGAAAAGGTTTATTTGCGGCGCTCAAAGATACTAGCTCTAGAAAAAGATTCATTTCTTTATTAAGGAGCTAGCTACGTTCTGGAGCGGTTGTTTACACTCGGATTTTTCTGCATTTGCTCCCAGGGCTTGTTTCAAATAGGTGAGGCCATTCTGGAGAACAACAGAGGACGTACCAACCGACATCTGAGAAGCACACAGTAAGCTGGCTCAAAATGGGTGTGCAAACAGCGAAGGGAGTACAAATAAATATGGCACCCACTCAAAAAACTGAATCACAGCAGTGACCACAGCATTGAGACCTAGCAATTTCAGTTGATACCAAATGCAGCTCAAAACAAAAGCAAGTTTTGAAAGAAAAGGCATTCCACAAAATGACTTGCCAAAATGAAAAGTTAATGAATAAAAATGTTATGATTGGCTTTTCAAGTATTCATTCACTCTAGATTATTAAATTGTCATATCTGCATAGACTATAGAAAAAATTATTAAATGTCAACTTTGACATTGCCCTGAAACTTTTGTCACTGGCCCAACATTTCCCCCCAAGTTTAAGGAAACTGCAGAGCCGAGACTACGCATTACACTCTTCAGTTAACATGTGCTTTTCAAATATTTGGCCCAGACTCTTCCCAGAGATACTACGTTTACAAAATAAAGAAACCTCTTAAGAGTAAACAAAAGGCACCTGAACCATTATTATAAAAGCAGAAAGGAAAATACATAAATAATACATTTTAATCAAATAAAATAAAGTAAATATTCTGCAAGCATAATTTTTAAAAAATTAATAGACTTATTTTAATTTACTCACCATAAAGAAATGATTTTAAATGTTCAAGTGCACTTGTTTGATTAATAAAGCATTTTATATTCAATTATTTAGTGCTAAGTCATTAGGAAGTTTATGTTGTTGAGGCAAATCACCAGCTCAGACATTAAAAACTACCATTATAAAAATTTCACTATAAAGTCAGTATCAAATTACCCTTACATAGGACAGCTCAAGGGCTGTTTCTATTTGATACAAGAAATTTTTTTAAACACCCAAATCCCTCTCAAAGCGCAGAAACCTCAAGAGCAGTGGCATGAAGGTAGCTTGAAATACAGGTAAAGTCTTTCAACAAAGAAAATAGGTGGTATCCCACCAGCATATGTTGATCATTAGCTTTAATAGTCTGTGGTAAATTTTTAAAGGTAGAAGTTAATTCGTGGGGCCTTCAGTTCTGTCTTCCTCCAGCTCTTGGACTTCCTTTTTAGTTTCCCCATCCTTCACCTCCTGTCGGGAAACTGGGAATTTGTCCTTGTTATTCTCCTTTTTCCATTTCATTCTCCTGTTCTGGAACCAGATTTTTACCTGTCTCTCTGTGAGGGCTAGGGCGTGGGAAACCTCGATTCTTCTCTTTCTGGTCAGATAAGGGTTAAAAAGGAATTCCTTCTCCAGCTCTAGGGTTTGGAAACGACTGTAGGTTTGTCTTCCTCTTCGTCGACCAGGAGCTGCTGATTAAAACAAAAAAAGAGAAAAATAAATATATTTTTTAAATGGTGTCTCTGCAGGTTGCTGGAAGTTGCTGGAGTGGGTCTAAGGGATGAAATATACGAAACTCTCTTTAGCTCTGATATATGTATGATGTGCAGAAGAGGGGGAGAGAGAGATCTTCACAATTATTCTGTCACCATCATCTTTTCGTGGTTTCTACTTTAAGGAAAAAAGTCTGTATCACTTTATGAATAAGAGCCACTGTAGCAACACAAGAAGGAAAAGGACAGGGAGAGGGAAAGGGGTTTTAAAACTAGAACGTGAGAGGAAAGCAGATTTCTCCCCCTCTCCCCGCTTAAAAAAAAAATGCATCCCAACCTTGTGGTCTCATCCAGGGAAACATTTGAGAAGGAGACGAGCTCTGATTTAAGTGGTCTGGGTCCTCGCCAATATTACCACTGGACGATTTACAGTCAGGATATTGTACCAGCTCGGCCTCTTGCTGGGTCGTAAAAATCGGCTGTCTCTGTAAGTTATCGTATCCGTAAAACTTCGCGGGCTCCCCGTGACAGGCAATCCCGCCGCAGGGGGGAGGCGGCGGCGGAGGATGCGGAGGAGGAGGGGGAACGGCCTGGTAGGCTGCGGCCGGGCTGCCCCCGCCGGGGTGGTAGTAGTCCTGGCCGGGGCCCAGGCCGCCCCCACCACCGCAACCCGGCCCGGCGGGCGGCGACGACGGGTGCGGGTGCGCGTGCGCCTGCGGGGGCGCGTGCGGGAAGCCAGCGGCGCTGTTGCCATAGAGTTGCAGGGCGGCGGCGTGGCGGCCGCCGACCTCAGGCGCGAAGTGACAGTCGTAGTAAGTGGGATTGATGGCCTCGCCCGCCGCGGCCGCGGCCGCCGCCTTGTACTTGGAGTACAGCGGGTTCACGAAGTACGAGCTCATCGGGGCGGCGGCGGCGGCGGCGGCCCGGGGCCGAAATAGGGCGGCCCTGAGCGGGCGGGCGGCGCGGAGCAGGCAGGGAGCGCGCCTCAGCGCGGCCGCACTGCCGCAGGGACCTCTGGGGCAGCTGCTCGCGCCTCTGGAGCCGCCAGGTTACGTTGCTGCTGCCGCCCGCTCGCACGTCGCCTCTGAGGCTCGGCAGCCGCGGGCGCTCGCTTACTGGGCGCTCATGCCCGGCTCTGGCTCCCGCCGCCTCGGCCTCGCACCGCCTCCCTTGTGGGTCGCGGGGCCTCACCCAGCCCCCGCGCTCGCCGCCCGCCCGGCCTCTCCCTGCGCGCGCCGGCTTGGCCGCAATATAATCGCCGACGCCCCGGGTGACCTGCCCTGCTGCCTCCACTGTTTCCTCTCAGGCACCAGGCGGCCCTCTGCGCACCGGGACAAGAAAAAAAGTGCGCCCGGCCCACGGGGACACTCTTTGGCTTCGATTTACAAACCCCCCGCTCTGGAGGGAAAAGGAAAAAAAAAACACCCTCTGCCCGTCGCCACCTCTCACCTCGCCCCCCCCGCGGCCCCCTCCCACCGCTCTCGCCGCCGCCGCCGCCGCCGAGGCTGCCGCCCCGGTGCGCCCCGGCGAGGCATTTTCGCACCACGCCACTGCGCGGAGAGAGAGCGAGATGGAGGCGAGATAACCGCGCGGAGGGATCCGAGGCGACACCACTGCTCTCGACGGGACTCCTCACGCTCCCGGGGAGATGCCTCCGCCGCCCTTAAAGGGGGACCATAAAGCAGCACTGCCAAGGGCTCTCGGTGCCCCTGGAGCCCAGGGAATGTGGGTCGCGGCTAACGGGGCAGGGGTGCAGCAGAACCTTACACTTGGGTGGGAGGCACGGAGGCCACTCCCAGGAGGCTGCAGAGCAAATGACTCTCTCCCCCGGTCCCCGGAGCAGCCCCGCAGAAGTTGGCGGTGGCTTTTGCACCTCTGGACACGTGGGCGCATCCCAAGAACATGGGCAAGCTGTGTAGACGGACCGGACCGGACTTTTTGGGTTAGGTCCTATTCACGTAACTTGATTAAAGACCACAAGGGTGACCCTCCCCCCAAAAGAAAACGGTATTATCAAAGAGAATCTAAGCCCTCCTTTTCCAGCCGAGCGGGCCTTGTGGAAATGAGATGTACATTTACCCTTGACGCACTGCACGCCTGGCTGAGGCTCCCAGGTTAATTGATATTTAATGGAAATCATGCCCATGAATATAGTTTCCATCATTTCACCCTTGATAGACGTCAGCACCAGGCGCAGGGGGGAAGCTGAAGAATGTGGGGAGGGAGGCATTAGCATTGCTGAGGGAGTAAATAAAAAAGCGGACAGAAATGTTCCAAGGCGGGAAGGAGGACTCACGCTGGGGTGCCTGGTATTTCCTAGGGCAGAACGCGCGGCTCACGGGTCTCAGCCCCTGTGTGGAGCGGACCAGGGCAGGCGGTGTGTGGCCCCCCTCCGTCCCCAACGTGACTTCGAGCTGGCCTTGGGATCGTGCTGGTTCCAGGCAGCTGCAGGCGGCACCCATCTCCTGCTAATGATTTTAGTTCACCCGCCCAGTGTGTGCAGTTACTGCCTAGAGTAGGCGCCCTGCTCAGCTGTAAAAGTTACTAATTTTTCCAAAGAAAAGAAAGAGAACGCTCGTCCTAGCTTGTGAGTGATGAGGAAAACAAGTGTCTAGAGTCATTTGGGCAAGTCCAATGTGAATCGCAAATATGAAGGTCGCTCTAAAGCTGGAGTTACACCACCAACCAACCACCTTCTCTCTCCCACATTTTTTTAACCCCCTCTCAACTCCCGTTTTAATGTCCAATAAATGTGATAGGTCTCTGTTGAGTGACTTTTCCCTTGCCTTCTCGGCCTTTATCGTGGGTTCTTTGGGTGACCCAGCCGTTTCCTTTGGAGGATAATCCATTGTTGTAATGGCGCCGGGCCCGCCGGCCTTGGGAACCAACCTGGAAAACCCTGAGCCCATTGAGGAAGCTCCCGCTAATGCTGAAACCTTCCACGCCGGGTTTTCACGCCAAATGCAAATCTCTAAAAACTCCAGGTGGCCCGCAAAGGCGCCCCAGGCCAGTGATTTCACCTACTTCTCTCTCCTTGTGGGTTGCCCCAGCCTGAGTGCGAGCCTGAGGTCAGTCCCGGTGGACTGAGTGTCATATTTTGCAAATGGAGAAAATAAGGTTGAGATGGAAAGGCATAACAAGATAATGTCTAAGACTCAGTTGTTTTTACAGGAAATGACTGGAAATGGTTAAGGTAAACGGATTACTAATAAATCTCCAGATGATAAGGGCATACTTTAGTTTTTAAATTAGCAGAGTGCAGGAGACTATTGTTGTGGGACTGTTGGAGGGTAGGGATTTGTTTTGTGGTGGTTTTCTGTCGATTATCGCCAGGTAAAACCTACTTTAAATCCTAAGGCGAACGAACGGATTCTGACAGTTAACGATTTGCATTTCATCCTTGCAAATATCTAATTTTAAAGTATTATTTTCAACAAAGCCTTGGAACTAACTTTGTAATTGTGCCTTTTTAATTTCACTGTTTGGCATACGGGCGTTTGCGTGTTTAAACACTGGATAAAAGAGTGGGTCTGGAATGGAATGGGGAAAAAGAAGAGGGAGCCCAGATCTCAATATTGTAAGGCGTCTTCTAGAACTGTAATTCCTGAGGGTGAAAAAGAAATACAAATACTACAAAATTCATTTCTACATTTTCTGGCCTAATTAAAAAAAAACATTACAACACGACATTCCCTCTTGGGACAAAACACTTAATTTTTCTTTCAAGCATTTGTTTATAATTTGAATGGCAAAAGACCACGATTAACTTCGTAAATAAAGATCTATGACTTTACAGGCTTCTGTTTTGATAGAATGCATTAACTTACCATAATGTTTAGTTTCAGCAGTTCCATAGTCCAAATTTTCTGAAATCCTGACTAAGCCAAAAATGTATCTCTAACAAAGCGGCTGTAGCATTTAATAGTGCACATTGCTTCTTTTTTGTTAAATTTATTTTAATTTTGAATTAAAAATAAGATTGTAAATATTTTAAATCAAAACCTTTCTTCACAGTAATGCCAGCTTTACGAGATCACAAAGTGGAGCAACGGCGCTCTCTAGTGGCCAAATGCCACCTCGAGCCGACAGAACTTAACTTCTCTTTATTGGACACAAACCAACTTCAATCTAGTTCTTCAGTTTCGGACTTGGATCGCTGAGGCTAATAATGCTTCATCTCTTTGATTGTCAACAAATCTAGTGCAGCAAGCAGGGGCTCCTAAGTGCCAAATATATTTTTGTGCCCCCAAGAGCTTCCCGAAATGTCTTTTTCAAAAGCTCCCAACCCTTCTTTTGCCAGACACAGTAGGTCCTCATATTGTAATCACCCACAATTATAGGATGGACTAGATTTAACAAAAATCCCAGCTTTCTAAATATCAACTGAAACAGGATTTTTTTTTCCAGAGAAGCCAAGAACTTCAAAAACTAAGAAAATATAGAAGTTAACTTTATTTTTTTCTTTTAAAGCTGTTATTCTTAGCATTAAATCATATTTGCTATTTTAATTTTGTAATTTTAATGTTTCAGGTCCATTTCGCTGGGCAATGGGTAAGGGGCGTGGAGAAATCAAGTTGAAAACTTTTTTCTAGATTTCTGAGTGTTTCTCTGGAAAGTCCCTGTTGGGCCTGTGTTCACTGGAACATGTATGCACAATAAATGATATTTTATATTTAAAATCACAGAACGAAATTAATTGACTAAGCATTCCACTTGAAAAAAAATTTTAAAGACTTTAGTCAGCTTAGTGTTCTGTGCGAAATTAATCTTTTTTTCTCATTTTTCAAACACGCTTTCCTCCAACTCAGCAGTAACTATTATATTTTCTATAACCAAATATATATAATGGCCAGCAATGTTTTTGCTGCAAAGTTTGGAGTGGAGGGCCAGATATTTTTGTTAAAAGGCATTTACATAACTTCATTTTTTCCCAACGTCCATTTGGCTGGGAGACCCTCAGCCGAGTAAATGACCAAAGATCACTAACTCCCCCACCTCCGAATAAAAGGCCGCTTTAAAAACAAACAAGAAAGAACTAGCTAGACCTCGGCCATAGTAAATATTATAAAGAGCCACCCACCGTAGGCTAATTCTAATACCCAGACCATTTTAAAAATCAGAAATACATCATCTCCTCCTTCCTATCCAACATTCCCATTTTTATTTCCCAGGTGCTCACACCTCACTGGGAGCACCGAAGCCCCTTCCTTGTTGGTCCAACGCAGTCTTGTTTATATTTTATTGTCCAGATTTTAAGACCCAGTTTTTGTCTGCATTTTTCCTTTTCTCCTACAAACACAAACATCAAAATGAGACGGTTTCAAAGCGAAGCGCCGGACCTGTCGTAAACTCATTACCTCCAGACGTCTCGCCGGCTTGATGGCTTTATGACACCTTGGCTCTTCCTGTTTTCAAAGAGCCCTAGGTATCGAGTTAGCCGCAGGGGCGGGGGTACGCAGCACCTTCTGCCGGATCTGGGCCTTGGCTTTCCCTCCCAGCATCCCACCCCCCCCTTTGCCTTCCTTCAAGTCCCCTCTTTCATCAGGAACCGCCCCCCCCCCCCCACCCTGCCATTGCCCCCGCCTTCCGCCCAGCCTGGGCCGCCCGGCGCCGCAGCCTCCACGGCCTGCAAGAGCTGTGCTGGGCCCGAAACCTCACTTACAATGACCTTCATTTTAGCCTCTGAATGCGGCTCTCAGAGGGCCTAGCTGGGAGCTAAAGGCTCACAGAAACTGGGTTGGGGAGGGGGAGGGGAGTTGGAGGTAGTTGCGGAAGAGCCTTGACCATTTTGATCTGCTAAGGTCACTTTGGGGCTCCAATGGGGAGGGGTGGGAGCTCACAGCCTGACCGGTTCAGGCCTCCCGGAGCCAGCCAGCACTGCGGAGCTGGAGGAGTTGCTCCACAGTGCAGAGTTGGCCTTTTCCTTGTTTGTTGGGGTGGGGTGTTGTCAATGCCTGGGACTCCATGAGCAGATTGAGGCAAGGGGTAGGGTGTGCCAAAGCCCCAGTGAGAGGGTGCCTGGCTTCTGGGGCCCTTCCTCTCCTCTGGGCTCAGATGTGAGGCTGACACTGGGTCCAGAGCACAGAGTTCACCAAGGTACTGAAAGCAAACTAGGGGAGGGACAAGCCGCCAACAGCCACCCAGGTGCTGTGCTCTAGGCTGGGTCTACTCACACAAAGGGAGAATGGGAGGCACATAAGGGAGATCTCTGAAGTGGAAGGACCTCGGATTTTTAGCAGTGTCTCCCTCCCAGGGATGGGAGAAAAGACCAGAGAGGGTGACATTTTGCAGAGAGACAGAGAAAGCAGGCACACAGCGTTCAGGGCCAGTGTCTGGGCTCCATTTGATCAGGTCAGCATTTATTGGTAGGAAGCGGTAACATTTACAACTGGTCCTCAGGCAGGAACCGGGAGGGCCTACACCCACGGCCCCTCATGAGAGCCGAGCCCTCCTGGGGACAGTGGCTCCTCTAGTGCACTGAGAATACACCCCCCCACACACACACACACACACTGGAGGTTCTGGGCTCCTCTTTGGGTTTCCTTCCAGGTCTCTGTCAAGGGCCCAAGGGCTTCCCGAAGAAAGGGGGCTTTCATAACCGTTGGGCTACCCAGCCGGGCCTCTTGGGCCTCCACACTGTCGTCAACTGCCTTCATTCTCGGAAGTGAGGCGCTTGTGGCCCCTGCTTGAGCAGCGTGAGGGGCTAAACTACAGCACTTTTCAGAAACATGGAGGACATTTACAAAGGAGAGAGCTGTTGAAGCCAACGTGCACTCACAAAATACAGCATTTCCTAAGGAACCAACAGGGGCAGGAAAGGGAGGGCGCAGGGCAGGGCAAAACCCCAAAGCCACCTGGTTTCTCCAACACATAAGCGAGCAAATACAGAGTCTCCCAAATACCTCACAGAGACCAACCACACAGTCATTTCTACCTAAAAACGGGGTAAAATGTCCGAGTCGCTGGAGAGTTTCTGGAAATCAAGCACCCACAAAGAAAAAACCCCACTGCCATTGCAAAGCAGAGCGGTCCTGCCAGCGCCTCGCCCAGTCAGTCTCCTTTGGGGCATTTCTCCTTGCTCATCTTTTTCATTTTCATCCTACGATTCTGGAACCAAATTTTGACTTGTCTCTCTGTGAGGTTTAGAGTCCTTGCCACCTCGTAGCGCCGGTCCCGGGTGAGGTACATGTTGAAGAGGAATTCCTTTTCCAGCTCCAGCGTCTGGTATTTGGTGTAGGGACAGCGCTTTTTCCGGGTGGAGCGAGCGTGAATCCAGTTTGCGGCGGGGTTGTCTATGAAGAGAGGGGTTTGGAGAAGGGGAGCGGAGGGGAGGTAGGGAGAGACGACAAGGTGGGGGAGAGAGGTCGTTAAATTAATTTCACCAAGGATGGTCGCTTTTCACAACTTGAGGGAATTATCATAAAAAGCCTTAATGCTCGCGCTCTGGTCGCCGTACATACCGCGCACCCAGGGTAGGTGGTTATGGGAAGCTTTTTTATGGATGCGTGTTGCTCGCTGAGGCTAGGGTAGGCGGCTAGACGTTTTTATAGGTTAGTAAAACTATCAGTTTTGCACATTTGAGCCTTACAGGTTTCAGCAATAAATCAGGGGGCAATTTCTTTTGCACTTACTTGGGTCAAGTTGCTGCGGTGGCGGCTGCGGATGCTGCTTCTCCTCCTCCTTTAGCGGGCAGCCTGGGCTCGGGTGGTCGCTGCAAGCCGAGGGCTCCGACGAGCCGCCTGCCCCGGCCCTGATCCCTGCCCCGGGCCGGGTTCCCCCAGCCGCCGCTGCCGCCTTGTCCCGTAGGAACGAGTTGCATGAGAACTCGGGGTCGCCGCTCCCCTGGGACTCTCGGGCCGCAGAGCACTCAGTCTGTTTGGTGGAGGAAGACGAGGAAGTGGAGGAGGAGGTGGCGACGGCCGCAGGGGTCGGGGCCGCTCCGGTTTCAGGCTTAATCCCGTAGTGGCGCCTGTTGGGTGGGCCGCCGGGGCCGGGACTGGGACCAGGGCCGGGGCCACAGTCACCTCCGCCACCGCTGCCGCCGCCGCCCGCGCCGCCTGGGAAGCCGGGCAGCGGTTCCATCCAGGAGCGCATATAGCGGCCGGGCTCGGAAGCGGCAGCAGCCAGGGGCGGCGGGGGCACGTACGGGTGGTAGAGGCCGCTCATCGCCGCCGCCGCCGGGGGCTGGGCGGGCACCGCGGACCACGAGGCTGAGAACACGGTCGATTTGGGGGCAAAACTACACGAGGCAAACTCAGCGGCGGCAGCGGCCGGGCTGTCGGCCACACCTGCGGGCCTGCCCTGCGCGCCGGGCCCGGGCGGTCCGAAGCGCGCGGCGAACACCTCGTCGCCCTCATGGCCTATGAGCGAGTCCACGTAGTAGTTGCTGAGGGTGCCACTGGAGGACATTTTGAGGCGCCGTGCGCTCCCACCCAAGGTTACACTGCCCGCCGCGGCGCCGCTCCCCGCCGGCGCCCTAGCCGCCGACTAGTTCGCAGGCTGCAGCCTCCACCATTGGTCGCGCGGCCCACGTGATCATATTTACCAATACCGGGAGTAAATCAGTCCGCTAAACTGGGGGCCGCTGTGATTAAAAAAAAAAAATCATCATCAACATAAGCGCCGCAATTAGAGCCCGCGCGTCCCGGCCCCTGCGCCGGACTTGGCCCAGCCAAACTCTGCAAGCCCGGCGACTACTAGGACCACACGCCCGCCTGCGGCCGGAGGAGGCGCTGGGGACTATTTGTTCTCCTCCTCTTGCAGCCCTTGGTCTTCAGTCCCGTCCCGACGCTGCCTCCCCAGCTCCTGGGCTCCGAGCTACCAGCCGCGTGTCCTGCGCTCACCCAGCATTTGGCCAGAGCCGGGATCAGCCAGGGCCACGAAGGGCCGGTGCTGGCCCCAGGCAGGCCGGCCTTCAGAGGCGGCCCCCTGGCGCCAGAGGGGAGTTCTTCTTCCTTAGCCTCTCTCCCTACCCAAACCCACCCCCTCCCTATACATACCCACACACACGCTCTCACAGCTTGTCGTGTTGTTTAAAACAGGTGGAAGACCTTTGTAATGATATTATGCCTTTCAATAAAAATTTTATGAGGTGTATTTGATTATAGATTAATGTGTCCCTAATAAAACGGACGGATGGAGCAGCTCGGAGGGCCCCCTCCCCCTACCACACTCACACACGCTCGCGCAGCCACACACACCCCCGACGTGAGGCTGAGCACACGCCGTGGCCCGACGGGTGAGCTGGGGCGGCCTGGCTCACGGGCTGGGCCTGATGGCGGCCACGGCCGAGGCTTCTGTCTGCCCTTGGAAGGGCCGGCAGGAAGGCGAGTCGGCACCGCGCGCACAGTGGCAGCCAGGGTGCCTTGTCTTCTCCAGGACTGCTGCAAATGCCCTGGAAGAGAACACGCCATAGGGCAGAACCCAAATGCTAGCGCAAGACACGCTCCCGCCTGCCACCCAACCCTGCCTCCACGAGGCTAGCAGAGACCGCATCTCCCAAGGCAGGGCCTCTTCGTGTGGTTCTCACTTAGAAGCCTCCAAGTAGATGTCTGAATGTCTTTAAAATGGCCTGGTCCTTGGGCCACTCTCTTCCGATCTTTTTTTTTTTTTTTGCCTCCAGCGGTAATGCTGGGCAGCCTTGAATCTGAGGGAAATGCCCATTGTCACTCCCAAATCCATGGTACAAAGCCTCAGCTTGGCTGGGAACTGAGACAAAAGCAGCCTGGTGCAGGCGGCGGACGATATATTCCTTGCTCTACAAGTTGCCCAGCTCACCCTTGGAGGGCTCCTAGCCCACCCCGAGCCCCGGAAAGGAAGGGGGAAATGGCTACTTATGTCCTGATTGATTGTTTTTGCCATTAGCTTTCTGATTTTGTTCCAGAGGAGCTGCCTTTGCCTGTAGCACGGTTTTCCTCCTGAGATGTGGCCCCCTGTCAACAACTAGTGGTGTTCTCCACATCGTGGGGGGAACGGAAAAGTTAAAATTGCCCCCCTCCTGCTGAACCAATGGAGGTCTGGGGCAAATTGATTCCAGTGTTCCCAACCTGGCATTTATTCGGACATCGCTCTCTCCCACTCCTAGGAAATAGCTCCCCTAAAAGGTTCTGTCTTAGAACTGGAAAAGGTTCTTGGTTTTGAGAAGGAAGTTTAAAACTCTGAATAAATACAGAGTCTGCCAAAGACTCCCTGGATGAGAGTTCTAACACTTAGAGCCCCTAAATATAGGATTGTTCTTAGGGGAAAAGAGGGGGGGGGTTAAAAGAACGTGTTTTGTGAAACTGCTTGAAGCTATTGGAGAGCCTTTGAAACTGCAGCACAACCTGGAGTAACGGATTCTCTGTCAGTAATTCTTTCCAAGGCCTCTCTTTCCTTCTCCCTGGCAGAACTAGATAGTCTGGACTCTCTTGGGCTGAGGATCCTCCAGTATATATACTGTTGAAAGCTGGGGTTTTCCAAGCCATGGCGGCAGCTGGAACATTGGACTTCATGGGAAGTTATGTTCATTTGCAAATTCTTTCAGTCAACCTTTGTACATTTTCTTGCCTCCTAGATTCTGTGGCTCCAACCAGCATTTTGTAATTAAATAGAGGGAGAATTTTCTAGGGGAAATAAATATTTTCTTCCTTTAAAAAAAATTTCATGTGGACCACTAAAAGGTAATGACTGAGCATAAAATCCATCCACAAGGAAACTAAGACAAAGTGGGATGGAACAACTCACCCATCCTCTGCTTCGCTGTGGCCTGGCTGTCTTGCGCTTGGAATGGGGGTGAGAATGAGGAAATGGGGGGCAGAATTGGATCCGATGCAATGCTAAGCTGCTGCTTGTCCTTGCTCCTGCAAAGGAGGCCCGACGGCTTCCAGGTGGGCAAGACTGGTTTCAAGCCAGCCCCTGCTGATGGCATGCCAGCCAGATATTGCCAAGACCCCACTGAAAGCATCAAAAATAATACAACCAAAACCAAAGAGAGAAAGGCACATAAGTAGGGAGCTTTGAGGAAAAAGCAGCTTGGGCACACACTTACCAGGCTTGAGCTAGAGGGAAACTCACACCCATTGAGAATTCAATTCAATCATTGGGGGGCTAGGGAGAGAACACTCCCCTTCTTCCCAACTACGGAAACTGAACACCCAGGCTGGATTATCACACCCCCCCCCACTGCCAAATTTCAGGACCCTAGGCCTCCTCCAGCTTCTCTCTCACATCCTTACCTCTTCTATCTTCCCCACACTGCCCCAAACAAGCAGATTAACAGAAGATAATCTCACCAAAGGCTTTCTTTTCCACTGTAACAAATTTTCATTTTATAAAGCAGAGGGAGCAAACTTCTTTCCAGAATTTATTGCATTATACATGCGACCAAAACATGCACAGAAAGGACAGGTTGCTGTTATACTCTACCAAACCACAGATGCACCACAAGGGAAAGGCTACAAGGCATAAATTGTCAATATTCCATCTCACCAAGGACAATTGCTAAATTTATTTGTGAAAAGATACATTGTAATGTGCTTTTTAGTCCCCCTCCCCCCAAAGCTTGTGGGTTTTCTTAATCTTTTTTAAATATATATGTAATTTAAGTACTTTTAAGTACTGATGTATTCAAAACGCCATGGGCTCATGTACTAACCACACACAGACCTTTTGTGTTAGGAAAAACATGAAAAAGTCACATTGCTGGATAAATGAATGGATTGATGGATGCTCTACAGTTCCAATAAGTTAAGACCCAAATGAAAATGCGCAGTAATAGTTACCCTGCATTACGATGAAAAAAATAATAAATTACACGTGCTAGTTTTTTTAATATATATATACTCATAGGGATTACAGATCACTTGCAGCACGAACAGAATGACCCCAAAGTCACATTCTAGCAGGAAAAAAACAAAACAAAACAAAATAAAAAACAAAGAGCAATGAAGGTTTTTTTTCCGCCTTCCCAGTCCTCCAGCTCTCGGCCCTGGAACTCGGTGTCCCCTCTCCGATCCTGGCCTCCCACGGGCCTCGGACCTAAGAGAAGGTGAGGTTGGCGGTCAGTTCTCGGATCCGGTTCTCTCGGCTCATCTTCTTGAGTTTCATTCGGCGGTTTTGAAACCAAATCTTGACCTGCCTGTCGGTGAGGTTAACGCTCTTACTGATCTCTAGGCGGCGCTCGCGGGTGAGGTACATATTGAACAAGAACTCTTTTTCTAATTCCAGCGTTTGGTGCTTAGTGTAAGGGCACCTCTTCTTTCTGCCACTCTTTGCAGTGAGCCAATTGCTGGTTGGAGTATCAGACTTGATTTCCTCTAACAAAATTAAAGGGAGAAGAAGAAAAAAAATCAAGAATTTTTTTTTCTCAGTTGGTTCAAATGTACCCTTGGCCATGACCCGGCTGGCAGCCAGGCTGCTTTGGGAAATACTGGTATTAAAAATGGTATTAAACATTACTCACATGAGGTGGGCCTTGGAAAGGCTTTGTAATTGATACCAGATTAGTTTAAATGCCCCAAATGACCTGATGGGTGGGTACCTCGCCCTCTGTGTCAGGATTCTCTCTCTCTCAGCTTTCTGACCTGCACCAAACATTAGTACAATAGTAAACTTTCAGGGTCTTCCCAGCAACAGTCTAAGTGGTCAGCTCATAACAGGGCTGAAGTAGAAGAAGCAAGCCACAGCCTGGACAAACCAATCAACCCCACTGTTGCCTCAGGTCTCCAAGTCTGCCACTTCTTCCTCACTTCTCCTTGGCAGTCAGGGAGCCCCACAACCAGGTTGGTAGGTGCCCATTGTCTTTTAAAACATACCCAAGGAACTGAATACACCTTCTCCGCCCTGCCTGGGCATTGTTGAACCCCCGAATTTCCTGAATTCTCATGCCTTCTTACACAAAAGCGTTGCCCTGAAATGAAGCTCCTTAATGTGGCCCACCTCTGGGCACTGGGAGAGAGGCTCAAGGGCAGAGTTCCTTCTCAATAAAACCAGAGCCCCAGGCTCTTTGCCCTAGCCCAGCCCTAAGGCTGGCTCTGCCGTCTGGGCCAAGCAGATTCTATCCACCCCCCTCCGCCTTTGCCCCCTTTGCAAATGAATTGCAAAGCTCGCGGCACTTTCCCCAGACAAAGCCAAGGTTACTTAGCCCTGCAGAGGCAACAAGCCCTTGTCCCCCCGCCCAAGAGCCAAACAACCAAGCCATCTCATTCTCCTTGCCGCCCCTAAGCTCGCAGGATGCGGGGTGCATACACTTAAACACAAACACGGTGCCTTGAACCACCTTAAAATCATAACTGGGTGAAAGACAAAGTTGGGACTGCAAATCTGAGCAAGAGAAAGGAGGTTCTGGGGCCGTGTTTATGAGCTGCAGATCATTTGCACTCTTTTGTTGCATTTCAGATCTAGCTCAGGAAAAATAAACCCAGCAAAGCCCTTCCTCTGGCCAGACGCCATCAGCATGGGGG